GCAGGCGGTACTCTCAAGAACCTTATAGAGGTTCCTGTGTAAAACCCAGAAGAAATTATGAAAGAAAGCTATAAATAAGACTCTGCTTCTCTACTACAAGAGAAGAGATTGCTAAAAGCAAAGGCTACCCACCCCCTCCCCCCTTTGTGGAAACCTGGTGAACAGCGAAACTCAAGCTGAATCGTGCAAGGAATATCGCTTGATTAAATGCTGCCAGGATATAATATGCAACTTTAAACATTCATTTTTTAAAAAATTTCTGAACAAAGAAGAGCATGCAGCGTGGATTTTTTTAACACGGGTTTTATTTTTGCCTTGGAACTCTTCCCACCAAACATGAGTGATGACATCATTTCCAAAAAGGAAAAAAAAAAAAAAAGAGAAGGATTTTGGTAAAGCATCTTAGCCTGTGAAAAACAGATTGAGCCAAAGCATGCTGGAATGGGAGTAGAGAAAGCACCCTATTATTCTGCCAGCTAATGAGGACACACAGCCTTCTAACTACAGAGGAAGGGCCCTTCCAGGTAGAACTACAAAAACAACACTGCTCCAATTTTGGGTAGCAAAAACATGAGAAGCCTCTTCTACAGTGTTCAGAAAAAGAGCCGTCAACTCTCAGACTAGAAAAATCCTGCTTTGATAAGGATTTCCTTTCCTTGCAACGTAGAAAGAAACCCAAACTAAACAAAACAATGGTTTTTATGTCCCTGAAACTGAACTGAACCATTCACTTCTCACTCTTTAGCTGACTACATATGGGCAGCCCACGGATTTATTGAAAGTAAGGGGAGGGGGGAACTCCCCAGTCACTACAGATGTTACGCAATCATAACTGTATAAAGAAAGTATTTAATGTGATCATTCATAATATGCAGAGCATTTCTGGTAAACTCTGTGTTGCATTGCCCAGAACCACACAGGAAAAAGAAAGTAGTTGGAAACAACTTAAAAGTGGAGCCTTCGAACTACACTTAAGATTGGGGGGGGGGGGGATATTGAATTAAAATTCAATTACGGAATTGAAAAATAGCCAGTTTGGTTTAGCAGTGAAGGCACAATCAGGCTAAAAAAGCAGGAACCAGGGAGTTCTAGTCCTGCCTTTGGAGGTGAAAAACCAGCTAGGTGACTTTGGGACATTCGCTCCCTCTCAACCCAGCCCAGCCTACCTCACAGGGTTATTGTTCGGAGGAAAATAAGAGGAAGGGGTACTAGGTATGCTTGCTTTCTATTTATAAAAATAATAAAGGTTAAAAAATAAATACATTTTAGCAATCCCATTAACAGAGCCTTTTTTTTCTCCCACGAACGACAAATACCAAAATTTGCTGGTAACCACCTCTCGTTAACATCTTTTTAAAGGATGGGAATCTCACAGTAAATGTGAGTATATTTCAGCGAAACAAATTATGGGCATGTTGAAATCAAGTTCTTTGGGCGTGAAAGAACACAATCTATCCTCCAGGGAAATGCAAATTAAAGCATAAATCATAAGAATTTTCTTTTTAAAAAAAAATAATGTTCACTGCTTGTAGATGGGCCTTAATGATTAGAGAAGACTACAGCGTAAAACACAAGTAAAAGAAGATTTCCAGATGCAGACGGTTGCCAGTTTAAAAGATCCAGAAACGCCTTTTTAGCAATCCTTGGTTTGCTTTCCACCACAATCCTAATCCAGTTTAATTCACACACAATTTAGATTAATTTTAGTCAAAGGTAATTCTGAAACAACCATCATAAGCCCAGGTTAGGGCAGTGATTGAATAACATGAATGTCTGTCAATCCTATCAACTTTGGATAGATTTTATGATTACCTCCATAGCAACAGACTTCAGTCATTTAGAATAGAAGAAAATATCAGAGTTGGAAGGGACCTTGGAGGTCTTCTAGTCCAACCCCGCTTAAGCAGGAAGCCCTATACCATTTCAGACAAATGGTTGTCCAATCACGTCTTAAAAACTTCCAGTGCTTTGGTGAATGTGTATCATGTATGGGTTACTTTTAGAGGGGGGGGGATTTGCACTTTGTGTAACCTTTTTTTCCACTGTGCATCTTGGATTTGTCTTAATGTGGTCAGTTGATAATGGTTGTTAACCACGTTTCAGGGGAGAAACAAGAACGGCCACATATACCGCATTTACCCTATGACTATTAAGTGTTGTACCTTATGATTCTTGACCAATGTATCTTTTCTTTTATGCACACTGAGAGCTTATGCACCAAAGACAAATTCCTTGTGTGCCCAATCACCCTTGGCCAATAAAGAATTCTATTCCATTCCATTCTATTCTATTTATCCCATACATCCACATCGGGAGAGCATGCAGCAAAGTCATCAAATACAAGATTAATCAATGGAACAACTTGCCTCCAGAAGTTGCCAATGCTCCAAAGCACTGGAAGTCTTTAAGAAGATGTTGGATAGCCATTTGTCTGAAGTTAGTGTAGGGTTTCCCCGCCTAGGCAGAGGGTTGGACTAGAAGGCCTCCCAGGCCCCTTTTCCAACTCTGTAATTCTGTGTAGTTCTAAGATTTACAATTGGGTTGCATTTCCGTTTTCCTTACAACAGGCGAAGGGAAGAGACCGTCAGCTGGGGTGAAGAGGGGAAACTCCGCGCAGATCCAGAACAATTGTGTGTGGGGAAGGGGAGATCCCTCCAAGAACTACCCCACCCCAACAAAACTCCCTTCCTGGTTTGAAGGAAAGGCACCTCCGCGTATTTCCTTAAAGCTCGTCACGAGTTCGCGTCTGAGGGGCTCCACTTCCTGGCAGCCAACAACCTGTTTCATGTCTTTCTTCCCAACTGCCCAGAAACTCGGACTTACAAAGGGAGGAGGGGGGAGAGGGGGGGGAGAACCATGAGGGTCGCTGGTCCCTCGCTCTCCAAATCACGCCCCTTCGAGCCAAAGGATCGACGGCCTCGAGGGACCCTAACTGCCGACCCCCGCCGCGCCCCCTTTTTTCCAAGGGAAAAAGCAGCTTGCGCGTAAAAACCCCGCCGGGCAAAGCGCTTCAGCGCGCCCGTGCCAAACTCCTCACGCGGGGGTCGCCTTTCCCGCCCCGGGGGCCCCTCGCCATGCGGGCGGATCGGGGGGCTGCGGGGGGAAGGGGCTGAGCAGAGGGATCCCACCGGAGCAAGTTCAAAAACTTCTCCAAAGAGGCTTTCCTTCCCCCCTCACCACCTTCCAGTCTGGGGAAGGTTTTCTTCCCCCACCCCTCCTGGCGCTTCTTCTCAATGTCTGGAGCGCCCCCTCCTCACGCTTCCCACCCTCCTCGCCTCCAGATCCTGGGGAGGATTGGGGGGGCAGAGAAATGGGGGGGAAGGGTCCGTCGACCCCCGCGCCCGCCAAAGCGAAAATCCGGGCCAAAAAGCGCCTTTCCGCCCAATGCAAAGCAAGCCTCCCCGTGCGCGCGCGCCCGGGCCCACCTCTCCCGATTGCAAGGCGAGGAAGAGGGGGGGGGAAGGCTTGGAAGAAAGAAGGAGCTGAAAGCCCCCTACCCCACCCACCCACCCGCCTTCCGCACCGCCCGAGGGCAGCCGGCCGCTTGCTTTGTACCTTGATGCAGACCAGATCGGGACCTTCCGACATGTCTCCACCGAGAGAGAAAGGCGAGCGAGAAACCCCAAACGCAGGAAGTTGGCCGCGCGCCGGCCCGCCTGGCTTTCTTTTCTTCTTTGCTTTTCTTTCCCTCCCTTCTTTTTCCCGGCTGCTGTGGCTGCGTCTTTCCGCCCGCTGTATTTCGGCTGCCTGGCTTGGCTTCCTTTCCCCGCAAAAGCAGCGCCTCGGCCGGCCGGGCGAAGGCGCTCTCTCGCTCTCTTTGGATATGTGTGTCTCACGGCGCGGCGCCTCCGATCACCGGCGAGCCGCCCGCGCGCGCCCCAGCCAGCCCGGAGGGGGCCCTCGCATGGCTCGGAGCGCGGGGCAGGGGGGGTGCTTCCTCCGCCAGCCTTCCCCGCTCGGCCCGGGCCCGCCGCGCAACGATGCCCCGGCGGGAGAAGGAAAGAGAGAGAGCTCGAGGAGGCGGCGGCGGCGGCGGCTCCTCCGCTCACCGACCTGGAGAGTTTCCTAGGCTGAAAAAGTGACGCGAGTTCCCGGCATCGGCTCTGCCCTCTTAAAGGAGCCGGCCCGGCAGGAAATGGGAAAGCAGCGAGAGCTCCGGTTGCCGGAAAAGAAACCAGAGCGGGGAGGGGGGCGGGGGGAGATTGGGGAAGGGGGGAGGGTTGCCACGGGGAGGGACGGAAGGAAGGAAGCGGGAAGGGGCGCGGAGGGGCTTTTGCAAGCTGTTGTTATTAGTATTGTTATTATTAATGACAGTAATAATTTCTTTTATTCATTAAACATGAAACTCAGCCAGCTGAACATTCGAAAATGCATCGCAAATACCATTGCCTGGTACTTGATGGTTGATATGGGTTGCTGCCAGCATCCTAGATATCAACTAAGTACCACCTTCTTCTTCTTCCATCTCCTCATCTTCCTCCTTCTCCTTCTCTTCTTCCTCCTCCTTCTTATTATTATTGTTATTGTTATTATTATTATTGCAACAACAGAATTGTATCACAGCGGCCAGTTGTTTCACCGGATTTGGCATTGATTACTAGTCGGACCCCACCCAGAGGCCTAGGACATCATAATGTATTTTTGCAATATGCATATTATTATTATTATTATTATTANGTGAAATGAGGACCCAGACTGTGGGGGCAATATGCTGACTCTGTAAACCGCTTAAAGAGGGCTGAAAGCCCTATGAAGCGGTATATAAGTCTAACCGCTATTGCTAAGTGCTATTGCTACCTGCCTTAACCAGCGTTGCTGTGTTTTTTTTTAAAAAAAAACCTATTGTCTTCTTTATTTCCTTACCAGGTTGCGATTTAATCCCAGTTGAATATCTACGGTGGGGTGACCCAGAGCCTATCGCTGCAGTGGTTTTCGCCTGCTTGGGTCTCATGGCTACTTTATTCGTCACTGCCGTATTCATCATGTACCGCGACACGCCGGTGGTCAAATCCTCCAGCCGCGAGCTCTGCTACATCATCTTGGCTGGCATCTTTTTGGGTTACCTGTGCACCTTCTGCCTGATCGCCAAGCCCCAGCAGATCTACTGTTACCTCCAAAGGATCGGCATTGGCCTCTCCCCAGCCATGAGCTACTCCGCTCTCGTGACCAAGACCAACCGCATCGCCCGGATCCTGGCAGGCAGCAAGAAGAAAATCTGCACCAAGAAGCCGCGATTCATGAGCGCTTGTGCCCAGCTGGTCATAGCTTTCATCCTGATCTGCGTTCAGCTTGGCATCATCGTCGCCCTCTTCATTATGGAACCCCCGGATATCAAGCACCATTACCCAAGTATCCGGGAGGTGTACCTGATATGCAACACCACCAACTTGGGGGTTGTGACCCCGCTGGGATACAATGGTTTGCTCATCTTGAGCTGCACCTTTTACGCGTTCAAGACCAGAAACGTCCCCGCGAATTTCAACGAGGCCAAATATATCGCCTTCACCATGTATACCACCTGTATCATCTGGCTGGCCTTTGTGCCCATTTATTTCGGGAGCAACTACAAGATTATCACCATGTGCTTTTCGGTAAGCCTGAGCGCCACCGTGGCCCTCGGTTGCATGTTCGTACCAAAGGTGTACATCATTCTCGCCAAGCCAGAGAGGAACGTGCGCAGCGCGTTCACCACCTCGACCGTGGTCCGCATGCACGTGGGCGACGGGAAGCCTTCTTCTGCCGCCAGCCGTTCGAGCAGTTTGATCAACCTGTGGAAACGAAGGGGATCTTCTGGAGAAACTCTAAGGTAATCCTTGATTTAGCGGTGTGTGTTTTTTTCCCGGGCTAGATGGACAGAGAGAAAATGCTGGTCTTAAACATGATTGCTTCTACGATGCCTTATATTTCACAGATGTTATTTAGAACGATCGGGCGTTTTCAAGATTCAGGAAACTTCTTTCCACTGGATTTTGTTTTGTACCTTTTCTGCAACACAGACAATATTTAAGCATTTTGTATTCTGAATTTGGGATGAAATTATTTTATCTGGCTAGATTCAGGTTATCGGCTAATACGCTCCAGATTTCCTGGCATAACAGCGTTCTCTATAGTTTTTATCCTTTTGCCACTGTAAGCCGCCCGGAGTTACCCTGTGGTAAGATGGGTGGCTAATAAACTTTGCATGTAATTAAATAAATTCTAAATTTTAGGAATATCCGGAGGATACTAATTGGAGGAAACTGCCCTAAATGTAGTCTTCTGGTTTTCCTTTTTCTTCCCTTTTCTTCCTTTCCATTTTTCTGTTTTTCACAAGTTTTCTTCTTTCTCCATAGAAGGGGCGCAACTTATCCTACAGCAGATCATAGCCCATGATGGATCTTGATCTGCTTCTTGGAAACAAATGGTGTGGTATTGGTTAAATTAAATAATACGATAGCAATATATGCAGACTCTCCTTTTTCAAGTATTAACAGATCATTTCTTCAAACAGATCATCAGAGTTGGTGTGTACTTTTTCCTTGTGTTGTGGGAATTGCTTCCCCTTCCCAACTATACTTCATATACAGGTAGTCCTCGACTTACAACAGTACATTTAGTGACCGATTGAAAAGAGTAGAGTAGAATAGAATAGAATAGAATAGACCGCCTACTGCCAATTACCTCCACTAG